GGGTGAAACTCAGATGGCCTTTGTGGAAGGGAGACAAATTTTAGACGGGGTGCTGGTGGCTAGTGAATGTATTGACTCTAGGCTGAGAAGCGGGAGGCCAGGTCTGGTTTGTAAGATTGATATCGAGAAGGCACATGGCCATGTGGAATGGGGTTTCCTTGAGGAGATGCAACATTTGATGGGCTTTGGAGAGAAGTGGAGGAGATAGGTGYATGCTTGCATATCCTCAGTGTCTTTTTCTCTGTTTCTTATGGAGGTGCTTAACTTATGGTGAAGGGTGTTCAACTGGGATGGGTTGAAGGATTTAGAGTAGGTTTGGAGGGGCCCTACATCTCCCATCTGCAGTATGCAGATGGTACTTTTTTTAGATGCCTTAGTGGACCAGGTGCTGAGTTTAAGGGCCATTCTAGCAAACTTTGAGAGTTTAACAGGTCTGAAAGTTAATCTTTCCAAGAGTCTTCTAATTAGAGTGGGGGAAGTGGAGAGGGAGGTGTCGGATCAGTGTGCTGCAGTGTTGGAATGCCGGTGAGGGGAGTTACCTTTCAACTTTTTGGGTCTCCTGGTAGGGACCAAGATTTCTGGAGTAGTGGTATGGAGGCCGGTGATAGAAAGGGTGGAGAGGAGACTAGAGAAGTGGAAAGCAAAATACCTGTCTTTTGGGGGCAGAATAACTCTTATAAGGAGTGTTCTTTCAAGCCTACCAACATATTATTTGTCACTCTTAAAGATTCCAAGGAAGGTGGCAGAAAAGATTGAAAAACTTCAGAGAGATTTCCTCTGGGAAGGAGTTGGGGGTCAAGAGAAGTTTCATTTGGTAAATCGGGGTAAGGCTTGCAGACCAAAAGGGAAAGGGGGACTGGGGTTTAGAAGGGTGAGGCTGTTTAACAGGGCTCTTTTGGGTAAGTGGCTATGGAGGTTTGGGCTGGATAGAGAAAAGGATTCTTTATGGAGGGTGGTAGCCAGGAAATATGGGTAGTGAGGTTTGGTTGGGAATCAAGAGAAGTCTTGAATTCCTATGGGGTGAGTTTGTTGAAGGGGATTATGAATTTTAATAGAGAGTTCAAAGCTTTGGTCAGTTTTAAGGTGGGGGAGGGGTCAAGAGTGAGATTCTGGGAAGACGAATGGTGTGGGGTTGGGAAGCTGAGGGAGGTTTGTTCAAGACTTTATAGGTTCTCCGATCAGCAGGTGAGGGTGGATCAATGCTTTGAGATGAGGGGAGACCAATTGGTGTGGAGCCCAAAGTTTAGGAGGCCGTTGAGAGATCAGGAAATTGAGGAATGTCTACTGCTGTTAGAAAATCTGCAACAGGTTGATATTTCTACTGCTGCTAGAGATGGACTGTGGTGGAAAGAATGCAAAAATGGAATTTTCACTGTGAAATCCTTTTACTTGGCACTGATAAGGGAGCAGATGGCTGCGGATCAGGTGGAAGGAGTGTGAAGGAATCCTGTCCCTCCTAGAGTGGAAGCCTTCGCATGGTTAGTGTCGCTTGACAGTATTTTAACTTCAGAGTTCAGACCACCTGAAGAATAGAGGTTTCTACATGGCAAGTTTCTGTTATCTTTGCTGTTTGGACGAGGAAACAGTTTTCCACCTGTTCTACACGTGCAAGAGGGCTCATATCATCTGGAGTTTCTTCTACTTTTTATTTAGAATGAACTTATTTCAGCCTTTGTCTATGGCAGAGTTATTCTTCTCCTGGCCAAGATTTAATGGGTGCAAGAAAGCAAAGATCGTGTGGAGCTGTATCCCTTTTGCAGTCTGCTGGGTCTTATGGAATGAGAGAAATAGAAGATTATTTGAGAACAAACAGAAGAACATTGGAGGTCTTTTAGCTTTGATTGTAAATCTGGTGTCAGATTGGGTCCTGGTGCATTCAGACTTCCTTCAGACTAGCAAAACAGAGCCGGGGGAGAATTTTTGGAATTTTCTCTAGTTACAGTCTTGTAATCTTGACCAGTTCTGTTTTTATTTATTTTTATAGTGCAGTGTAGTCAACTTGTTTTCTAGGTTGGGTGCTATCTTAACACCCCGGGGTGGGCACACTCAACAATGAGCTTATTTTAATCAGGAACGATGTTATGGAGTTTAGAAAGCAAGTAAAAAAATACCTATTTCCCTACCACAAGTCTTCCCAACATTATATTTTATGGCCTGAAACTGGGGCAAACCTTAAATGTCTAAAAACAAAAGAAAAAAAAAGTGATGGATAGCCTCAATTTCTTTGGAACTGATTCTAGTTAACTTCCTAGCTGAATATAAAGTATGTAAAGAGAAATTTCAAGTCGTTATGTTGAGTCTATAGAGGTTCTGTCATATAACTTTTAGAAGTGAATTATTATAGAACAGAAGTGTGTTTTGAAATTATCTATGGGTAAGAGTTTTGTCTTCTTTCTCTCTCTTAAGGCTCAGTTTGGAAAGAGTACAAATACAAATATGCACAGTACAAATACATACAAAATACAAGGTTTTGCACTCTATATATTTGTATTTGTACTCCTTCCAAGCTGAACCTAATCTCTAAATAAAGGTGCATTCTTTCTTCTCCTTCTTCCCTTTCTCCTCTTTTTCAAATCTGAATTTATTTCCATCATAAGTCAGATCCTTAAGTTTACTTTTTTTTTTGACAAGTATCCTTAAGTTTACTTATTTACCCACAGTAGGACTTTTCTCCTTCATGTCAGACATCATGGTTATTAAAGGAATAATTCTTTTTTGATGAGCAACAAGGAAAATCCATTTTATTGATATAAACAGGAAATATACATCTTTTTACAAAGCTAAGAGCACAGCCATGCTATCCCTCCCAAAAAGGTTACATATTTTCCCAAATTAGTTGATTTCTGCCCTTGTTTAGTTAAACTTTGAGTCCAATTGTGAGCTGATCTTGGACTCATCTAAGTTTCTTCAACTCATTTCCATACTTCCAAAGATCCTTTTCCCCATTCTTGAACCAGCTAATTATCATGTTAGAGTCCTCTTCTATTACAAGTTTCCCAATGTCCATCTCACTACCTTGCTGAGCCTCTTGTAGGACCGCCAGCAATTTAATCCTTGTAGAATCCCATTACCAATTGCTAAAGGAATGTTGGAGCTTGAAGATTGTTTTGAATTTGCGGGATGTGGAAATTAGATGGCAAGAGGCTCTGATGATGCATTTTGGAATTTCAAGGCTTCATGTATGGTTAGAGGCCATGGTGGAATAGATTCCTAAAATGTTGAGTAATGTTAGGAGGAGGGTGGCTTAAAGTGTCAGGAAGCAAAGATGGTTATTGCAAGCTTAAGCATGGAGGAATCATACCCCTTGAATAGTTTCAAGGAAGGTAGAATCAAAAGATATCAGAAAAATGTTTGTCTTTCTTGTAGTGCAWCAAGCATACGAGTACTTGCACTGGTTGAAACTTGAAACATAGGGAGTTCTATATTTTGAAAGTAAAATGAAATTTTATTAAAATAAAAAAAGAACACAATAGGTAGTGATAAGACATCACCAAGAGAGAACAAATAAGTCTACAACTTAAACAGTTTTGAAGCAAAGGGAACTTAAGTTGAGGAAGGATGTTGAGGTGACATATTTGGGGAGTAGCATGCAGCAATTGGACATCGCTACTAAAGTATCCATTTCATAGAAGGAAGCGAAGGAGAGCCTGTTTCTTAGTGACTAACTAGTGGGGTGTCACCTTGACAGCCAATCAGCTTGTATCTTTCCTTTTTTTTTATTTTAGTAAAATTTCTTCTTTACTCTTCAAAAAAAAAAAAGGAACAGGGAGAGGGAAATGTGATACTACAAGATACGGGGTGGTAAGTCTTGAGATCTTAAATTGCTACGGCCGACGGGTGCTCAGAGGCCCATCGGTTGCTGGGCCTTGGGGGTTTTATTTGGTTGGCTACTAGTTGGGTGGGGCTGTTGTTCTCTAGGTATCCACTGTTGATTTAGGGGGTTGAGGGTGTATGCTTTTTTTAATGGATTTGATGCTTCTTATCTTTTTTGTGGACCTGATGAGTGCTGGTGTTTTCCCCTTGGGTTTGTGGTCGTTTCTGATGGGTGTGGATTATATTTTATATCCATGGTTAATGAGGCGTCTTTTTGGGAGTAGTATCATTGTGTGGGGTGTTATTTTTTCCTCGTTGTCATCTCTTCAGTGTCCCAGATCTGCTGTAGAAAAAATGCTGTAAGCCAACGCTGCACTGCCCATAGGCATCAGATAGTTGTTCTCTAAACATGTGCAGGAGGTTCCAAACCTGACAAGTCCAAACTGCTGTCCGACACTGGCAAGCAACCACAATTGTGGCTTTTAATGTTCTTTACCTTTCTTTCTCATGTGCCTTTTTTTTTCTTTTCTTATGTTAGTAATATACTGTTACTGTTTGAGGGAAGAAAATAAAACTTTGGTATCCGTTGGTAAAGACACTAAGGAGATGCATGAGAGTAGCCATCCTATGGATTATGGGAAGAGTTGAACATGGGAATCTTCCCAGAAAATCTAAATCCAGAAAGGATTTAATGGATCTGATAAGAATTAGTTGTTCATTAGGTGAAGAGCAAGGAGGAGTTCCCTTGTTCTTCTGTTGACAAGATTCTTGGAGGTTGATAGTGGTGGCAGAAACTTCTTCCTAGAGGATTTAAGGTATTGTAGCCTAGACACTCTCTCTGAAAATATGATAAAAATGAATTTTGATGGCTGTGGTCTGAGAAATCAAGGTGAATCAGATCTAGAGGGTGCTTTCAGAGACCACTGGCACATTAAGGCCCTGTACATGGGTATACACACTATACCCAACTAGCACATATTAACATCATCATCATCATCTTCTTCATTCATTGCCTTAGAATGCAAGTTCCTCCTTTTAACTGTGACATTGCATATTAATAACCAGAATTTGTCTGTACACGTTCCTCCTTTAACTGTTGCATTTATGATATAAGGTTCCCATAATGTGCTGACCTCTGACAGACAGTTACCAAAGCCTGATTTCATTGTTTTCTTTCCATTTTACAGAGGAAAAGGCTGGGATTGATATAATACCAATTTTCATCTCAGTTGATCCCGAGAGAGACACTGTTGAGCAAGTAGGAGAATATGTTAAAGGTGCCTTCTGATCTCAAACTTTTCAATATAATTGCATTGTTTTGCATGTAACCCATCCAGTTGTGCATTGCCATGCATGATATAATCAATGATTTAAAAGGCGTGCCTAGGTGCACAGGCTAGGTGCATTTTAGACTATGCACCTTGCTTAGGTCCCAGGCGCAGCACTTTCAAAAGGCGCATGCCCGGTACTCCTTGCGCTTCAGCCCAGGTGTGCGCCTTTTGAAACTTTGTGCATTCTTTCTGTTCTTTTGTGCTTAGCAGCTGGGGTGGAGCCCCCAGACCCCCAACTAAGTCCCTTGAGGCAAGCCCAAAGTTCATATTTTTAATATGTTTAATATTTTGCATTTTTTGGATTTTTTGGATTTTTTAATTTTTTTAGAATTTGTTGTATTTTGGTGCCTTGATACAAAAAGGCAAACATCTTGCCTTGCGCCTCGTGCCTTGGGCACAAAATGGCCCTTGTGTTTTATTTGTGCCTTGCTCTTTTAAAACATTGGATATTATGTGCTTAAATCCATGTTTGCAATCTATTGATCAAAAAAAAAAAAACCATGTTTGCAATATCCCATGATATGTTGTTAATTTGCACAAAATTTTCCATTTTAAGGGCTCCTGAATATCTATTGGTACAATTTCAATTATTACAGTGTTTAAATGAAATGCTTATCATACTTATAGCATGGATGAAAATGAGATATCTTGACAAATATCACATTTACATGTTTTTCCACACCATCTGTATCATATACAGATATGCTGGATATTTTTATTCTTTAATCTTGCTTTATTTATTATATATGGTTACTTTGTATTATCTTAGCTTTTTAGTATTAACCATGTCTATGTTAACATTTTTCTGTAATTCTACTGTAAGACTTCATTCATCATAATCTTCCATCAAGTTCAAAAAGTTTAAACCATTTGGAAATCTCGTACCAACTCAGTGAAATTTCTCATTTTTGAAAAATCACAGTTTTTTGTTGAAGTTGAAATTTTGAACCTTTCTTATATGAGATTTGATCAAATGAGGTTCCTAAAATGTCAATTCCTGTTACAGAGTTTCACCCAAATTTAATTGGGTTAACTGGTATGCCAGAAGAGATCAGGAAAGTTGCACGTGCTTATCGAGTGTATTATATGAAGACAGAAGAGGAAGGCTCTGATTACCTGGTTGATCACTCTATTATCATGTATGTATTGCTTTGTGTATTTTGCCATATATTCCTGCCATTTTAAGTGTTTGTATCTTATAATCTTTTAATTTTAGTATGCTCTGATTACCTGGTTGATCACTCTATTATCATGTATGTATTGCTTTGTGTATTTTGCCATATATTCCTGCCATTTTAAGTGTTTGTATCTTATAATCTTTTAATTTTAGTATGTTTTTTGACTTTTTTCCTTACATGCTTGAATGTTATTACATTACATGTCTGTTTGTCTAATGAGTGATTATGTTGCATAAAGATAGGTTGTGTTATTGGGAACCCTATATATTTTTCTATTTTCTAAAGTCTTTGTAAGGAATGTAAGGGAGTTGACCAGAATACTTTGGTGGAAGATTAATTGAAAAAGAGTTGGGTTTGGAACCACCTTTAAGGGGAGGTAACACCTCGTGCCTCCTCTTAGGGTGCTTCATGCTTGTACTATTTCTATCTCTATTTAATAAAATACCATTCATTCATAAAAAAAAAAAAAGATTAATTGAAAAAGGAAGGACTTACAGAACAAATATTTTAGTTGGTTCAGATTCAGAACTCTTTTGTTAATGACTGGAAAAACCTCAAATGTGTCATCTTTCATGTATAGGTTGCACATTGGTGCAACGGGATATGATGATAATCATATTCCTTTTATTCAGTGATAGATGATTTGATTCGGATTCAGAAATTTTTGTAGCAACTGGCACAACCCCACATATGACATCTTTCAATTTGTAGGATGTGCATCTGCATAAGGGGATAGGGGATATAGTGTCATAATATGCTCCTTTTTTTCACATGGGATTTGACCCTTTTACCTCTAAAATACATACCTATATACGTATATACATACATGCACATAAAAGCATACACACATGCATATAAATAACGAAGGCCTGAAGGTGGTCCAAGGTGCTGGACCCAAATCCAGCCCAATTAAGTATGCTGGAATCAGGCTGGCTGGAAGTCGAAAAACAGAGTTGGAAATGTAATTATTAAAAAAATTATCACAGATATTGGAAAATGTGCTAAACCAGAACTTGAAGATCAAAGCAACAAGCTTATTAGAGGGGTGGTTGAGAATACTTCCAGCTTGTCAAAGATTTAGTGATCCTAGTTTCTCATAAAGTAAAGGCTTTTGCTTCATGAGAATCAGAAAGATCGTCACCCAATATCAGCTCAAGTCTCAAAACATAAAGCTGGCAAGCAAGTGCGCACCATGCGAAGAGGTGGAAGTTTTAATCATTTGTTTTTATGCTACAAATTTTTTTTTGAAGAATAATAAAGCAGTTTTAGTAATAGAACAAATCATAATCATGGTTCATAATTTTGATATTGATGGACATTTTTCCATGTAGAGATAGAGGTATCTTGGAGATATTTCACTAATTTTGCTAAGATATTTGGAAAATCTAAAAAATTAGAAAAGTTTTCTAGAAACTTGAAATTAGTTAATAAACCTTTAAGGAATTGTTTGAAAAAAAATAATTGCACTTTTGAGGCTCAAAAAACCATAGCAAAGAACTGTATAAATCAAATAGGAGAAAATTAAGAGACTTTAATAGGTATCTTTCTCTATCTCCCATTTAGCCTTTTAACGATTTTATCTTTATTAAATATGTCAATTACTTGCTATTTTGACTTTTGTCTTTTTTGTCACTAATTGTTTTGAATAGATTGAGAGCACTCTTTCATAGTTATGTGCATTTTTCTTCTTTTGAATTATAGTGACTTGGTAAGCAAATCATATGAAAATAGTAAGCCAATTATCCAACCACAAATTCTCCATTGGTTCTTTTAGAACAATACTTTTAAAAAATTATGATGATTTTAATACAATATCTCATACTTTACCTTTCTAAAAAAAAGATTTTAATTTTTTTTTTTGAAAAAGGTAAGGTAAATATTGTTAAAAAAAACGGAATCAAGAGTACAATCGGCCCCTCAATATAACTGGGGCCTAAAACCAAGAAAACATTACAAGATATCACCAGCCAACAGCTGGACACCCAAGACCCTTGGTTGAACCCCTTTCACAGCAGCAGTCCAAGAGACTAACTTTCCAAAAGTAAAGGAGATTAGTTTATCCACTCCATTATGCTTATTCTTGAAGATTCTGCTGTTTCTTTCTGCCCAAATGGTACTGATTACTGCAACAAGGATGGAGGACCAAACACTTTTTGCTATCTTGGACAGACCTCTAGGTACCTGGCAAAAGAGTTAACAGAGAACACACCATCATTACTCCAATTCCAGTACCAGGTATCTTCTTCCATCTGATTCAGGTTCTGGTTGGACAACAATTCCAACAAATTAGAAACAAGGTCCAGCTCCCAATCCTGAAAGGTTCTTCTAAAAGAAGGGCACCAAACCTGGATGTTGCCCCGGATCTCACAGCAGTCGGCCACCAAGCTATCTTGATTCTCTGCAATCTGGTACAACTGAGGAAACAACTCAGCTAAAGATCTGCTATTGCACCAAATATCCTTCCAAAACTTTACCCTTTGACCATTTCCCAGCTTAACTGAAAGACCCCTATTTATCAGGGGGAAGACTTCCATGATTGCCTTCCAGATGGAGCACCCCAGAGAGGTCACCAAGGCAGTTGTCACCCAATCCCCATAGCCTGTGTTGTATTTGGCTGCAACCAAACTTCTCCACCAACTCACTCTTTCTTTACCAAATCTCCAGATCCATTTGCCTAGAAGAGCCTTATTAAAAACCTTCATTTTCCTAACCCCGAGACCTCCTATTTTTGGGGGCACAAACCTGATCCCAACTAACCAGGTGAATTTTCTTCTCCCCCCACCCTTTCCACAGGAAATCTCTCTGCAGTTTTTCCACTTTTTGGACCACTTTCCTTGGCATTGGGAAATGAGACAGTCAGACAGGAAGTAGGAGAGCAGATTTGATAAAGAACTTTTTAGAAGAGTAATCCTTCCACCTAAGGATAGATATTTTGATTTCCATGAAGCCAACTTCTTTTCTAATCTCTCCAGCACTGGCTCCCACACTAAAGCTGATGTGCATTTAGCTCCCAAAGGAAGCCTCAAGTAAATAGTTGGCAGGAAACCAACTTGACAGGCTAGAACCTCATCTAACTCTTGAATATGTTCTACATTTCCCACTGGAATTAGTCTGCTTTTGGCCCAGTTGACTTTTAGACCTGAAACTACCTCAAACCAGCAAAGAACCCCAAAGAGCACATCCAACTTTTCCACATTAGCATCAATAAAGCAGAGGGTATCAACCGCAAATTGGAGCAATTGGACTTTTTCTCCCCTGGGGTAGTTTCAAAACCTTGCCATTGACCCTCATTTCCCACCCGGTTCACAAAGGCTGTTAATAATTCTAATGTAACGGTTTCTGGTCACGTATCAATTTTTTGGCTAAGGACCTCGTCAGCTCGTCTGCTCCCAATTGGCCTGTGACTCAGGGGCTGAAGTGGAGCTCCCTAGCGTAGCGCAACCCAACTGCTCCCTACAGGAGATGATCTAGCTACCAACAACGACGGGAACTGAACTGGCTACTCCCTGTTGGCGATGATCTGGTCATCTTGGTAGGCGGCGGGAGTTGAGGGACATGCGAGAACTAAATCAGAGAACCCGAGGGTGTTTACCCGGCGAGGTCAATCCGATGGCTAAGTCAGCAATTAGTAGCGAGTTGAAAATGATATAAGAGAATGAGAGAGCTAGAGAGTAGAGGCTACCCCTCTTTCTCCTCCCCCTCTGGTGGGTGAGGTCTTTATATACTGGAGTCCTCGTGGGTTAGGTGGAGCAGTTCCTGGATTTCCGCTGTGATGGGACCTGCTTTCGTATTAGGTGGGCATAAAGCCACCAACTGGTAAGGTTGCCCATTTCCGCTTAAGTCGGGGAGTGGGTGAGCTAATATAGCCGTTACAAGTCAATCCCGCAAAACGCGGGGTACGGTGGTGAGCTCCTCGGGGTTGTCAGGTTGGCGCCTGTGTCAGGCCGCCAGGTCGATGCCTGGGCCAGGCCGCCAGGTCGCGCCAGGGCCAGGCTGCCAACTCGTGCCAGGGCCAGGTCACGCTAGGGCCAGGGCTAGGCTACCAGCTCATGCCATGGCTAGGTTGCGCCAGGGCCAGGCTGCCAGCTCGTGCCAAGGCCAGGTCGCGCCAGGGCCTAGGGCTGTTCATAAGAAGGTCCAACCCGACCAAATCGACCAACCCAACACAAGTCGGTCGGGTTTTCATCAGCACGGGTCAGTTTCGGGTTGTGCAAATTCCTATACCAATGATTCGGGTCGGTTTCGGTTTTCACATAAGAAAACCGAAACCGACCCAAACCGAGCTGACTTAGTTCCTAGTTCAAACATGAAGTTCCCAAGCCCATTAGGCCACCTAGTTTTTGAATGGTTGCAAGAAACTTTGGATTAGTGAATAGTGATTAATGAACAACTTTTGTGATTAACTTTTCATTTAAATTTTATCATAGGAGATGGCTGAAATGATGTTCAATTTATGACTGTTTTTTAAATTAGCAAGATTTTATCACAGGGATGAACTTAGAACCGAAATCGACCCAACCCGACTCAAACCGACCAGGTCGTTTTTGCTTAACACTGGGTCAGTTTTGGTTTCTATGTCAGGTAACCCGACCAGGTCGGGTCAGTTGGAAAAACCGCAATAAACCGACCCAACCCGACCCGTGAACAACCCTACCAGGGCCAAGCTGCCAGCTCGTGCTAGGGCTAGGTCGCGCCAAGGCCAGGCTGCCAGCTCGTGCCAAGTCCAGGTCACGCCAGGGCCAGGTCGTGCCTGGTGGGACACCATCAACTTAGCAAAGGCAAGTTGTTTCCAAAGTGGTCCCGGGTGTCACCTAGTTCTTAGGTGCCAGACTACACGAGGGTGAGCTGCCTGTAGCGAGCTGCCTAGTTGTTAAGAGACTGCACTTAGTTGTCACAAGGTGCCAGGTGTCACAATGTCATTGGAGGGCCAAATCCGCCCTCATCATTTGCCCCCACTCCCGAGCTGAAAGTAACTCAGCGAAGGGAGTAGATTTCTCCTTTTGACCCGTAAGTCGACGAGCTCGTAAGCGCTGATTCAATTCCTTAGGCTCTGGGAGCGACTCGCAGTCCACTCC